GATAACCACCGGAAGAAATCACTTTATTAGAAAGTAAGTAGCCTAATTGGGTTCGGAGTCGATTCCTACGGTTCCACCTAGCTTTCATTAATCGGGAACCTAGCCGCCCAGCCCTAGTGGTAACTTCTTTACTTTATTTATCTCTGTTGTGTCTTCCTGTCTGTCTGTTTTGATTTTTCCCAGCACGAAATAACCAAACCATGATTGTGTCGATTTGCGTCTCTTTTCTCATACTCATAAACAAACAAACAAACAAACAAACAGGCAAACAAACCAGCTAACAAATTCCCTTGTCATGTAACACCTCTAATTTTCTGCATTTAAGTGACCTCTTTGAGGTGCTTCCACACTCTTACTCTTACAAAACAGGTGTAATGGTCAAAACTGGTTTGACCTATTTTGTGTTTCAAGTGCCGTAATTAAAACTCAAAGGAAACAGTTCTAATCTCTCTAACCTATTATGACATATTTTTACCGTAAAACTATCACTAAAATAAACAAACAAACAAAGAAACAAACAAACAAACAAACACTCAAACAAACAAACAAACAAACACACACACAAACTAACAAACACACACAAACACAAACTAACAAACACACAAACAAACAAACACACACAAACACAAACTAACAAACACTCAAACAAACAAAAAAACAAACACACACAAACACAAACTAACAAACACTCAAACAAACAAACACACACACACAAACACAAACTAACAAACACACAAACTAACAAACACACAAACAAGCACAAACTAACAAATACACACACAAACTAACAAACACACAAACTAACAAACACACAAACAAACGAACGTCTCACCCGGCAGCTGAACTTGTCGCCCCAGGTCAGACCCAGCATCCGGTTAAGGGGCCGGGCGCACTTTCTCCGCGCGGTCATGCACGTCCTTTTGCACGGGCCGATGGGCGGACCTGAGGGGGTGAACACCACTTAACGTTAATTTATTCATTTATTTATTTATTTAATCAATTTTATCTATATACACATTGATTTATTTTTTTATTTTTTATTTTTAAAATATATTTTATTTGTTTATTTATTTATTCAGTTTTTATTTATTTATTTATTCATTTACACTCAATTTATTTTTACACTCCTATCGCTGGTGGTTGACAGGTCTTCTGATGTGGTCTGCTCCTTGATAATCAAACATCCATCGTCCTTATCTTTCCACCTCCTTTTTGTGCTTTTTGTTATTTTCTTGAAACACCCCTAACCTTCGACACCTGTATAATCTAGTTGTGTTGAAAGGGCCCACGCCCTGCCCCTACAAATATTTAAATCACCCAGGGGCAGAGTGGGTGGTTGGCGGGTGCTCTGGTGGGGTTTGCTCCTTCTTTCCTATAAAAAAAATCTATCGTCTCTATCTCCCCTTCTTCTTTTTTATGTTTGTTACTCTCTTCTAACACCTCTAATCTTCGACACTTATATGACCTTATTACGTTGCAAGTGCCGTAAAACACTTACTGAAACTAAACTAAAAGCAGCGGCCGATACATACCGCCAAGAACCAACAAAATAGATCCTATCCCATCTCTTCTCATCTTATTATCTCATTTCATCTTAAACTTTTCATCTGAGCTCGCTATCTGTCTGCCTGTCTTTTTTGTTAACCGTCTCTAAATTAATGAACATTGTTAGGTTGATATGTTTCTCTGTACTCAATCAAAATAACTATGGTCTTATTTCATCCCCCCCCCCCTCCCCTTTCCTTTTTCCCATTAAACAGCAACAACAGCAAGAAAAAGTTCCAAAAAAACAAACAAACAAAAAAAACAAAACCAGGGCAGTGCTACTGAATGAAGTGTCTTCAGACCATTCCCAAAAGGGGGGGATATTATCATGTTCTTAGGCACAGAAGAATGGTAAATGGGCTGATTTATCAATGTCATGCTCATATTGTCCCGGAACATCATAGGGGGAAATGTTGCTTTTTTCCCCCTCGTCCTTACTGTCGTCAGTTCCCATCTACTTCTTTTTTATGTTTGTCACTCTCTTGTGACCTGCTATTTCCGGGGTGCCTTGATAGTCGAAGCAGACTTTGTGCTGTTGAAGCTAGAGAGGTGAGTAGAGTAAGCCTGATTCCCCATTTAATTTAGACTTCTCTGTTGACAACCACCCCTTGGCGCTCATATATGACCTTATGCAGTTGCGAGCGCGTAAAGCCTTACTAAAACTAAGCTAAACATCTAATCCCATCCCATTTCATCTCATCTCATCTCATCCCTTCCCATTTCATCCCATCCCATCTCATCCCACCCCACCCCTTCTCATCTCATCCCACCCCACCCCTTCTCATCTCATCCCATCCCATCCCATGTCATCTCACCTCGGCGCGTGCACTTGGGCAGGTACATAGAACAGGCCAGTAGCCGGGTGTTTTTGGAACAGGAGTGGTCCATATAGGCCCACAGGTGCTCTAATTCACGGTACACTTGAGCCTGGTGGGAAGGGGGGTGTAGGGGGGAG